GTCTTTCGGTTTCGAGCGTTTTACCGTTTTTCATCTGCAATGGCACATAATAGTTTACAATTTTTTGTGGATGTTATTCCGTAACTCAATAAATTCTCAAGAAATTTTTATCATTTTTGGCTCGTTTTGTTGGGGATTAAATTTGCTAAAATATCATTCAGTAACTTTCAAAATCTTTTGGGATTAAAGAAACACAAAAAAAATTCTGAAACGTTGGTTCCGAAACAACAAGTTTATTAAACATTTTAGCAAAATATATACATATAATTTAAAAACATTATTAATATTCATGTCACAAAAAAATTATTTAGAGAAGATCTTTTTTGAATAAATAGCCCCAGGGATTTTTCTAATAATGTTTTTATCAAACTTTGTCAGAAAAAAATATTGAAAAAACCAGGGTTTAGCCACAATTTAGAAATTATGTCGAACCACTGTGTGGCAGAGACGGGCAAATTGATTTAACACGTTTTGACTGCCGGAGAGTTGCGCTGCGCAGGGTATCGCGTGAAAATGTTGACGACTGTCGACTGTTTGCTTCCAAAGCGTAGTTTTACGACATCAGTTGTCAGTCTGTTAATTTTTGTAATGAGCGGAGGATGATACGGTTCCCTGAATGAAATTTCTAAGAATGAAGTTACTTTATTTTCTTTTGTGAGAAAATAAATACTGTTTCTAAGTGCATGTTTTGGAGTATATACTATGAATATATACAGAGTGTTTTATTAATTATGAATATGTATTTAAGTGGGCTAAAAGATAATGTCAGATTTCCATAGTGAATGCTTCTTTTTGTTTTTTCAACACAAAGCACTAGCTTCTAACAGAATATCCAAAAGCTGACACTTTAACGCGTTCTTTAAAAACAGAATGATGACGATGGGGTTCAATTTTCTTGAATTGAACTTGTTTTATTTGCGTTTGATCATTGGAAAAGCCTCGTCCGAGGTTTATGAATCATGTAAGCCTCCTGTTAATAAGTTTTGAATAACAGAAATTTTTTTAAACGTTCGTAATTAGTGGGACACCTTGTATATTTCTAATGAATTGGAATGGACTATGCAGGCGTGTATGTTGCTGTAGGAAAATCATTATTTAAATAACAATTAGATAACATAGATAATACTCACGCAATTGTTATGTAACAAAAGCTAGATGGAGAGATCTAATTATGCGTTGTATAGACAATTCGTATTTGTACGCAGCATACAGCACACAAAACAATAACAAATTCTCTGCAGCAATTTTCTATACACAAATTAACTGCTGTGTACAGAAATCGTTTAATTTTTTGAGTAATTGCCCAATCAGAAGTTGAGTAACTACGAGTGTTCTGTGAAAAATCATAGTTTTATGGACTACTCGACAGAAATCGGCATCGAACAAACGTCACTTTTGGCGTTTTCAAGGATTTAATCAGATCTAAACAAAGCAGAAATTTCACTAATCTTTGGATTTGCTTTTATTAGGCTCTGTACTTTAGACGTTTGCATGTGTCATACGTGCATAAAAACAATCTGTCAATGTCCAATCCCCAGCACTTCTTAGTCAACAGATGTGTGTATGTATAAAATAATTGACCTTCATTTAAATTTACGTATTAGTGATGTCACTAGGGCTTATTTCAACGATTAGTTACACGATAGGATAAGTCTGTTTTCGATCTGTTACATTGCATTACTTGTAAAACACATGTAAATACAATTATATGTACGACAATTTGCATATGTCCATAAATGCAATAAAATTAGAAGTCTGGTAATAAATCGCCAGTATAATCATCAATCCCAGTAACTGAATATAGTATTTGTAGCTTTATGTTGCAAAACGAGAGACCACGAGCAAAATCTAATTTTCATGAAGTCGACAGTAATTAAATTCTATTCACAATTCATCGAGACCTGTGCATTTAAATACATACGCTATAAACGAATAAAATCCACAGTTCACTAATACCAACAACGATTCACCGAATACAAATTCAGCTCGCACAATAAGTCCCGTACTCGCCCAACACCTCGAACTATTCCATTCGAGCTCCAACTTCGGCTTGGTAAACTATCATCGTAGCATTCTATTCGATCGAAACTTACAGCCTAACTAGATCCAAGTTCACTCGAACGAGTATCTCACGGATCAAACGAGCTGCACGTGTAAAGGGTAAATGTCTCAATTACTACTAGTATCCCTAACACTGCCATCTTATTTATTTTACTTAATAAAAACGTAACATACCAAGAATTGTGTAGAAAACATTTTGTTATTCAATTCGGACTTTGATTTAAACTACTTTAGAAACTTTGATTCTGTATCAAAATCCACAGTCTAGTAATACGGATCTATTTACTGTTCGTTAATATTTTATTCGAGTATTCGAAACTCTTTGCCTAGATAATGAATTTAGCCGTCTCTGTCTGGAACAACGTTTCAAGCGAGTCGCGTTTAACAGCGACAGCCGAGAACGTTTTCCCGTGTCCCAGCTATTTCGACCGTCGAAACTTGATATTGGGTGGATAGTTTCCGGGGGTAGGTACTCTAATATTTCCCTCAGGGGGTATTATAATCAAGTACTCAGGAGCGGGAGGTGAAACGAATTTTCAGCCGGCTAGAGTTTCGAGTACTCCAACACACACATACACACACACATAGCATACGCACAGGATCCACTTTTGAGAGCCGCTGGCCCGAATCACGGGTGGAGCCATACAAAGGCACACACGTATACACGAAAGGTAGACTCTGAAATATTCATAGTCGTTGGCCGCTGTTGGTCCGCCCCGTACTTTTTATATATCCCGTGACTTTTTCGATTCTACGTTCCTCCTGACGCTGGTTTTCGCGAAACTGTTGACGAATCTTCGTGCACGAGTCCTACGCTATCCAAGAAAAGCTATTTGATCCCTTCTATTAGATACACAGAGATACTTAGTAAATGAGAGAAAGGAAGAATGTAGGGAAATTAGGGTATGGGGAAATAATAGGGAGTACAAAAATATGTTGAAAATGTGGATTGAAATTTTTCCATATGCTGCACGAGTTCTACGCCACTGAGGAAAATTATTCAGTCCCTTCTAGTATAAAGAGCTACTGAGTAAATACTGGAAAGGAACAATGCAGGGAAATCAGAGTACAAAGTAATAGAGACTGCAAAAGTCGAATCTGGAACGAAATTTTTTCGAATCGAATGTTAAAGTTCATTTAACGTGTACAGTTACTCACAGGCGTATCCGCCCATTCCATTCATATGGTATATTTTAAGTGTTTAATTAATGTTAAAGTCAAAATTAACAATTGTGATTTATGGTAGTATAATACCTTGATTAATGTACATATTATAGAATAGTATGCGTTCATTTGAAAAATTATATACAGCTTACTTAACAAAGTAGGTATTGTCGTTACTGAAAGTAGTGGAAAATGTTACAAACAGGGTTGAAAATAAACTAGTTCAATCTAGGAGTAACAAATACAAACTTCCATTAAAGTCGTCGGATTATCTAAGTATTAATTTATTGTGGTTTGTTTAAAATAAATAAAAGTTGATCTCACCTTTTCGACTCACTTTTGCATGTAGAATAACACCCTGTCCAGTTATACCACCCATCTCAGTCCACCCCGTATAAAAACTGACATGTCTGGTTCCCTTCATTTTCATTAAAAAACTCAAAAAATATTTTTATCACATAAATACAGTACTCAAAACAATTATAGGATGGCTACTAGATTTCCAACATTTTCATCTTTTCCATACAATACCAACTCTTACTTTTGTTGTATATAAACATATGTAATTTATTATTTCGATCGTGACTAAACACTTTTCGGAGGAAAATTATTAAGCAGGCCAGTACATTATGTGGAAGCGACAAAGCCCACTTATCCGATAAATGCACGAAAACATGGTGTTCAAGAATCAGTTAACGATTCCGTCAACTATCAGATGATTAAGTTTCATTTAACAGCGATCACATTGACGTCCTGAACGGAAAGTGTAGTGCGTTGTGTGTCTTATGCGACTCACATGGCAGGGCACATGTTAAAAAGTTTTCAGAAATTACACGCCGTAATGACAAGCACAGCGTGGTTGCAACATGCAATCTTCTAATTATTTTGAACGGTGCAATTTCAAGCAGTAGTGTACGTCGAGTATACAGTTTCCACGCATCAGTTTTACCACACATCGATATTCGTGTTTGCTGTGCGAGAAAGAAAAAAATATTTGTTCCTCGAACAATGAGCCTGACATTATTAGCAATTGTTTCCTGAGTGACGAAGAAACGATTGTTGTTGCATCAGATTTTTTTTCACCCTTTAGCCGAAAACGTTTCAACGGAGAGCCATCTGCTGCCGCCATGATATTCGAATTGTCAGCCAATGAAGCGTGTCGTTAATCAAATATATATAAAAAACACTTTAAGTTACACGGTTTTAATTTGGTGTATGGAAAAAATTAGATATAAACAAAAAAGTGGACTAAAAAAATAAAAAATAATTTTTTTAGCCATCGCAATATTCTTGGTCATATGTGACTAAAAATAAAATCGTGAGGTGCCCATGGATGAATTATGTATATCGGTTGGTTGGTAATCCATTATGGACGCCCCACGATTTTATTTTTAGTCACATATGACCAAGAATGCTGCGATGGCTATAAACATTATTTTTTTATTTTTAGTGGTTTTTTTTGTATATATTTTGTTTTTTTTTTTAATACCGTGTAACTTACAAAGTTTTTTGTTTTGCAGACAAACTGAGGAACCAACCTAAATAAAACCGCGTAATAAAAGTCCGAAATGCAAAAGGTTGCTTCCACCCGTGCAAGTTACACAACCCGGCGAAACAATCGTTTCGTTTAATCGTACTTAAGAACACGTGGACAATAATGGTAATAATTTTGAACACATCTCCGGGAATAAATAAATACACATTTGCATTGAAATATTGAAATTTTCCACGGTTCTTTTTGTCTCTGAAAATGTGTTTGTTTTTTGTTCTTCAAGCTATTCAAAGGCCGACATATGCAACGGTGAACGTGTCCCACTGTCAGCTATAAGAAAAAGATATCATCCCACATCAGAAAAAAGGATACCGTGAAATTTCGAAAAAGGTGACTTGGAAAAAAAACTGATTTCTTCGTACCAATAGATTGTTCCTAGGAAAGGAGTAACTTTGCGATGTAATATTTACACTTAAGAGATGTAACATCAGTATTCTAGATACTAGAGTTAGATGATACATCTACTATCAAACAAAGATACTGACTACCCATACAAGAATACCGAGTACTGTTTCACAAAGACTGAATACTGGTACACGAAGACCAAATACGAATATCGAATACTCGAACACGGATACCGAATGTGGTGTAGCCAATGTAAATCAGACCACGACGGTGTTCCCCTTCGGTCTGTGATTCCCGCCTCCATCCTCAGCTCTCCCGCTGCTCGCGAGGATAAAAAACATGCACGTATATAGAAACGTTGATACTCTCGTGGCCGCCCGCGTATTATTCCCTCTTATTTGTTTAGCTTATTTTTGGTCCATGTGTTTTTCGTTGTTTACCAGTCGCTCCACTTCCTACCAGCGACACACTTCGAACGTAGAATCGGAACACGTACATCCGTATGGCTGTGCAACGAAATTCCTGACGTTGAAACGATCATCTGAACAGCTCAATTGGCAGAACAGATGTTGCATAAACGAATCTAGGTTTCGAGTTTCTTGTTTCTAGAAACGGCCTACTCAATTTGCGTTTCAATTTTCTATTATCGTGCGCTTCACGTGCTTCGTGCAATCGACTTCGTGTTGGATCGTTTCCCTTAAATAAAAACGTTATATAAGTGTTGTTAATAAAACGTTATTGGTTATTTCGCGTATTGTTAATGGAAATTTTTTTACGAAATAAATTGCTCACGGAATTCGTATCAAATTACTAATTATTCAATGGTAGAGACGGTATTGCGCTGCGTATGTATTATCTACTAACTGGGGAAATAAAAGATCGATTGTTCCGTTGAACGCGCACTGTGTTGTTCTCGAGATACGTATCGAATATATCCTCTGTTCAAGCTGACGTCCGATTTTGCATTTTTTATTCCGAGAAATACAAATAAAGAAAAAGAGCAATCGAATACGGGACGTTGTTTTAAACACGTGTAAAAGAAAGTGCGCTACGTGGACTCTGGGATAATTTACAGCAACTGCCCTATTTACCAGGCATTGCCCTGTCGCATGATTCATTCAGATCGCTGGAAACATTCTGTGCCGGGAAACAACTTCGGAAACAGGAAGGAGTTACCTGGAACTTAAACTTTTTCAACTAAGTCGAGGTAGAAATTTCATAAAGCGAAAGAAACTGTAGAAAGAAGCAGAAAATAAATATAAGACACATATAGACAATTATAATAGTTCTTGAAACTGTACTTTAACACTTTTCGAAGAACCAAGTTATTAACTGATAATAAAGTTTGAATGTTAATATAACAGTATACAAGATAAAGGAAAGCTATAATTTAAAGTATGAAAATGAACTAAAGTTACGGAAATGTTCAAATCTTAAATGCGAAAATGATGCTTGTCAGAGTAGCTTCTACAAATTGTTCTTTAATTCTATCGAGATTCTGTTGATGATTGTCCTGAAATTGACAACTAGAATACTCAGTACTACTTCTCCTTCTTTTCTCTCTTCTATTTAAACCGAACATTCCCTTAATTTAGCGATCTTTAATTATAAAATCGAATCGTAGTGATTCATATCCTAGTGATTCATATCGTAGCTTATTGCAAATTTCGAGTTACCAATATTAGCTTCAAGGAAGGAGCATACATTTCTGGAAACGGTCACTCTTGGCAGATATGTCTAGATAGCCTGAAGATCAAAAGACGGATTACGATCTACGAATCCGTGGAAACGATCTTCTCCTCGTTCAGTATTTAATGACGACACAGAGAATCAATACTGGATCAATTCTAATCTATATCGAATTTTTCTAAGCTTCGTTACTTTACCTTTAATTTCTAAAGTATTAAATATTATTTTATACTACTTCCAATCTGTGAGAAGAGAAATATTATTTGAAAATATAAGCTCTATAAGTACTCTCTCTCTCTCCTAAGGGCGCAGACATGGATTATTGACCATAAATCTTCCTTTGCCATTTCTATGCCTAGTAATGTCTTCTACGGACATTGAACACTATAATTCTCTGCCATGGAGAATAAGTGTTAGTTGGACGAGGGTTAACCATTTCAGCTGCAAATGTTACGTTATCAAATCCATCGGTAAAAATTGTAATCAAAAATTAAATCGTAACCTTTCCACTTACCGTAGATGATTTTCAATCGAAACATATCGCAGTGAAAGGTCTAGCATTGGAAACACGATACCCTTTGCAATACTTATTACTACACTCCACATATATATGCAATATAGATTTTTATTAGTTCATTGGCAGAATCTGGAATGCAACAGAAATTTATTTACCTTAGTATAGGGTTTTTTCACATTCTAAATGAAATAAACGTTCCTGTAAATACGATTTATACACTTGAATATTCTATACAAGCATAAAATCCACAGTCTATCAATTACAAAAATTACTGAGGAAAAGAAGTCGAGTTAACGTATTACTTACAGGCGACTATTGAATAAGGTTCGCAGACCCAAAGATCGAAAGTCAAGGGGGCCTATTAATAAACTGTTTAATCAAAGCAGCAAATTACAATCGTGAAGCAATACCGAAGCCCTAACAATGTAACTTTACGATTTCTTCTTTAATCCATTCGTGGAGATAAACTAGTACGGTTTCTCATCGATAAGCATTGAAGTAAAAAAATCAGAGATGTGCAAATTCATTATCTAGATTCTAGATAAAGAGTTTCGAATAACGAATAGAAGATAAAAAAAATATTTCTTCTTGAATGAATAGACAGTTGGCGAACAATTATTTAATCTCGTTAACTGTTTAGCCCATTAACAGCTGTTCTTGTATAAACGGAACATTAAACTTTAATTTTTTTCAACTAGGATAAAGGAAATGTTTTTCATTATATTTGTCATAATTGTGTTCCTAAATCTTTGTAAAGACATGAAAAATTTTGTTTGCCAAGAAAAAGTTAAATTTTTGTCCTGAAAAATTTCCTGAAAAATCCCTGAAAAAAAAATCTCAACAGGGCCACCAAGTAGAAATGTGTTAACAATCCCGTGTTGATTTCTGATTTTAGGGAATGTGTGACATGTTCATCCAAACACAGCAGACGAGTAGCGTCAACGGCAGCAGCAGCAGCAGCAGCAGCAGCAGCAGTAACAACACCGTTCACCATCACAGCAAGAAACGGAAGTTGGAGTACAACGTGAGCCAGCCGGTGATCCAGCACGCATTGGTCCAATCGACCGGCGACTACCAATTAGACAATACCGGGCTCCAGCAACGGTACTCCGTGAACGGTGCTAATACCGCGTTTAGCTCGCTGCACAACAATAATGCGCTGCAGAAGAGTAGCCCGAATCAACAGACCCTGGTACGAGCCTCGACGATCAAGCTCTTAGACACGTACCAACGCTGTAGCCAGAAGGTTGGTGCCGCTTCCTGCGATCTCATCGCGTCGATAACAAAAAAAAGAAACAAAAAAAAAATCCCGCGAAAACTTCTCTTTAACGAAAAAAAAAAAAAATGGTTCTATTTCCGAAAACCGGTTATGCCCGATTTGGCAGAAATTTTGTAGATACCTTCATTTTACATAAAAACAACGTTTACGAGAAAGATTTTTGGTGACTCGAAAATGAAGACCCAACTTCTGCGAAAAATGTATCATTACTGTAATGTCACTCCCTGCGTTACCGATGCAGCATTACATTGACATCGATACTGATCAGAGTTGGTTAGAGACAGTCCAAGAAAAAAAAGTAATTCACAATTGGTTAGAAACATTTTAAGGAAAAAGGTATCATTATGATCTCAATAACTGTTTAACAAAGAACGCGTAACAGCTAAAACCTTTATGGTAAAATATTTTTCACAAAATTTTAGGTCCTAACTTTGAGGTCGCCAAAAATCTTTCCCGCAAACGTTGCTTTCATGTAAAATGAAGGTATTCGCAAAATTTCAGCCTAATCGGACGTGATCGGTTTTCGGAAATTTCGCCAAAACAAAAAATTCGCGTTTAGAGGAAAGAATACATTTCTGTACTCTCGACCCGCGTGAGCCCCCCCTCGTCGACCAAAGGTGGGGCCATCCGACGTTAACGCTTCGACCCCCGTCCACTCGAGAATGGACGGCGGCTGATACATGCATACGTATATGCGTAATACGGTACATATCGTTCGCGTATACCGATTTGAAGTTCATAATCGCGGGATATGATGTATTCCCGGCTATTATCGATACAGAGAACGCTCGATGGGACCGCTCGAAACGGCTATAAATAAGCGTTAACGCCGAAGCCCCCGTTTCTACTCGAGCTGTGGTGCGAGACCGGCTGAGGAGGCTGTGCTCGCTCACTCTTTTCTGTGGGGTTCGCTATCTGACTCGTCTTAACGTTGTCTCGGTAGTGATGGGACTTGAAACGCTTCGAATCTGATTCGAAGCTTAAAACTCTTGAAAGTCTTGGGCTGCTACGAAGTTTCGAACGAATTCGAATTCTTTAACAGATTCGAATTCATGAACGGATTCGAATTCTTGAACGGATTCGAAGTCTTAAAAATCTCAACGGTCTTGGAAATCTTAAGCGTTTTGTAAGTCTTGGAAGTGTTGAGATTTTTTTATAAGTTTTGCAAGCTTCATAAATATTCAATTATCTTACAAAAATGTCGAGTGCCAAAGGAAACCAATATGAAGACGTGCCAAAGTGGAAGATACGAAGTAGCACTAAAAAATTATTTATACAACTGAGAAACATAAAGATAGAAATGTTGACAGATACATATCACTTCTTTTTCCACAACTTTCTATTGCAAAAATTCACCATATCATATCCACCGTAGACCGAAGACAATTTTATCGTGCCACTAAACGTTCTTTAAATGGATCACACAAAAGCTGTTAACTAATTCGTTTAAACGTGACGTTTGAACGTTTCGACTAGTCGATACAAACCGAGACCGTACCTTGAATCAGGGTCATTCCACGCGAAATTGAACACTTTTTGGAGCACCATTTCGGATTTCGTTCAAATTTGGATATGTTGTATTCTTTGGCGATACATACACGTATCTCGAAAGATTAATCGGACATTAACTTCAATCAATTTTCATATGGCCCATTTTTAAGTCTCCACATTTTTAAAAATTTGTCCATAAAGAGGACAAATAGGACTTACAGCCTCAATTTTTTTCAAATTTTTCAGCTGGGCCCTAATATCACGAAATTGCATTTCTTTAAAACAATTATAAAATAAATGGTTAAAAACTATTTTCTTCTAACTGAAATACTTTTGATTAGGTACTCTTATGTCTCCACTGTAAGCGCCCAAAAGTCTCATTTTGATCAGTTTGTTAGTTCACTAGTTCCGATTCATTGAAAAAATCAACAATTTTTAACATTTTTAAAAATCCTTCGAGATACGTTTAAATATCGCCAAAGATTACAACATATCCAAATTCGAACAAAATCCGAAATGGTGCTCCAAAGAGTGTCGGATTTCGCGTGAAATGACCCATCATCAGGGTTGCAGCATATGTTGCGTCCAAATACGTTCAACTCAAAAATTTCAGGGATTTTAGAACATTCCTCTAGGTGTAGCCCACCCCCTCACCCCTCAGGTATGGTCTGCTTCGTTGTGTATTTTTGATGTCGCGGTTGCACCGACTCGTGTAATAGGATGGCGTCTTTGTGCGATAACGAACCATCTCATCCTTTGGCGGCCGTTTGTCTCCACCTGCGTCTTGCCCCGTTCTGATGCTCGTTTCCGCGGCTCGTTACACCGCGACGTTCTGATTGCTAAACATAACGCGTTGTTTTCTTTTTGTTTCCGTTAACCATACGCTCGGATCATTACTCGCCATCTACCGCCAATCGCACAGTAATGTCTCTTCTCTTCGGTTCAGAGTCTAACAAGGGAAGGACCCCAACTGCCTGACTTCGAGTTTAATCTGAATTTTCTCGTGAGAGTAAAAAAATATTTGATTACACATTTGAACTCAGTAGATTGTTTAGATGACATTTTGTTTAAAAGAAATGTTTATATGCCCCATAGTTCTGTAGATATTAAATGCACACACATGTGTACATTAGGACTCAAGTACCAGATGACACCTAAGAGAGCACAAACGAAAGAGCATGTGTTGTGGTCCTTCCTTTGTAAGAGATTATCCAAAGGCCTGATCAAAGACTTCTGAAATTCTCCTATATTCGAAAATCGAAACCCTCTATTAATGTTGGCGATACTTTGAATCTATTAACAAATGGTTCACCGTTTTAATATCATTCTACGAGCAACAATCTGCAGGTTAATAATCGGTAGCATCCGGTAGCTAGGGACTTCGTCGGTTGGAGGAACCTTCCCGAAAGATCCTTTTGTTTTGCCAAAGTCGTAAAGCACCTCCGTCTTTTGTCCATGCTCCGTCAGCCTTTAAACGACTCTGCGTGTATCTTATAGACTTGTTCCGGTTATATCTTCAGGGAGTAATTACGGTGGTACCCGGAGGCAATCGTTTCGGTCGGTCGTGGATCAGAGGCACGATGGCCACCACGAGGATGAGAAACGGTCTCTTTTCGCCGTGGTTACTTTTCCGTGTGCGGCGTAGTTACCGTATCGATTGGCTTCAAGGCTTCCATTTCATATTTCATGCCGGTCATCGCGCGATGTACACTATTTCCGCCAGACCCCGAACGTTTCGCCTCCAATACTGAGGTTTTCTCGACGAAACGGATAATCGATTTCCGTCACAATGTTGATTTTCATATTTTATGCGCAGGAGCAACAATGTCGCCCTCTACGATCTTCTTCTGATGAGGAAAGGACCTCAGTTGTTCGATTTCGATTGTAACGGAGATTTGTACGATGATAATATATGGGTTCCTAATACAAACACGTCTCGATTATCGTCCCAAACTTAGGTCCGCGCCAGGACAATAATCTTTTAGGGAGAAATGCTTCAGACCCTCGTAAATTCGTTTTTTGCCCGAAGCCCAAGCCTCGGCAACAAAGTATGCGATTGACAGGTTCTACGTTCTCCCTTCTCAGTGGTGGAGATAACGTCTGGACAATAATCGTGTAGAACAAATCAGACGATAATCGAGAGGAGTCGAGTGTCTACATCCAATATTTCACATACAGTATGATTAGGAACCTGTATAGTATGTATATAATCTTACAAATCCCCATTCAAATCGAAATCGGATAATTAAGGTACTTTTCTTATCAGTCATTCGCCACACCCGCAAACTAGTCTTGTTCGATGAAAATCCCCACGTGTCCGATGACCTTTTTGCGTATTTCTCCTCGATCGGGAGCCTGTGATCGAAACAGTCTCCAGATCAAGACTTACATATTCCTCCGCGCATCCGTGTGCATAACACACGTCGTCCATCGTCGTCCCTTTCACCAACCGAAGCTGTCGAAACTACGAACGATCTGTTAACAAGCAAAAATTTTTGTATAAGGTCTATTCCTCCTACAGAGAAAAACTTGGTCGAGGGAAGGTAATGGTGACGGCCTGGCAGTCCACTCCGCCAACGCGACGAACGCAGTGGGCAGTACTGTAGTGTCGCAGCATCACAACCAACAGCAACAACAGCTGCAACAACAACAACAGCAGCAGCAACAACAACAGCAGCAGCAGCAGCAGCAACACAAACAGGCAGGCATGACGGCGCACAGCAAACAAGTGACCAACGCTGCCAACGGCGGCGGCGGCGGTGGCGGCAGCAATCCCCAGGGAGACGGTGATTACCAGTTGGTCCAGCACGAAGTTCTCTATTCTATGACCAATCAGTACGAGGTCCTCGAGTTTCTGGGCAGAGGTACCTTTGGACAGGTACGGGCTCATCTTAGATTCCTTCCCTAACCCTTGTATGCACTTGGACTACTGATCTGTATATCACTTGGACAAATTGTTGTTGAAAAGTGTGTTAGAAAAAAATTTGGAAGGTATTTCCATGAAAGTTCCAATATGGGGTTATTCGATAGCAGAGATGGGCAAACTCATTATCTAGATACAAAATTTCGAATAACGAATAAAAGATAAAAAATGTATTTTGTCATTTTTAATTGTTTAAACGTGGAAATTAAAATTTTTATAATAAAATGATACTTCTTTATGAATGAATCGACATTTGTCGAACAACTGTTTAATCTCATTAACTGTTTAAAGCTCAGAACGACACACTTAGATACTGCTGCTTTTCATTGTGTATTATTTGAATAAAATTCTGCCCAACTCTGTTCGATAGACAAGAGGGGGAATATTTAAAGCTGTGTCTGTATGCATGGTAATCCTCTTTGAATCTGAACTTATCCCATCTATAGACCGGTGGCATTAATTTCGCCTTAGAAGAAGCGAGATGAAATGTAACGTAATAAATTGCAGGAATTCCTTACCAGTTCGTAGGAATGAATTCCGAAAACTAGTTTATAGGTGGAATAACTGTAGATAGGAATCCCGTGGAATTTTTAAGAAAATTCTTTCACATTCCCAAGTGCGTGCCACACGGGCTGTATTATACAAACGAATTGATTTTCTTTCACCCGTTTTTTTCACGTACATCTTCATTTTCCCGCAGGTCGTGAAATGTTGGAAGAAGGGAACTAATGAAATCGTGGCTATCAAAATTTTAAAGAACCATCCATCGTATGCGCGCCAAGGTCAGATTGAGGTAAGTCGTGTATAAATATCATATATTGATTTCCAAGTTAATTGCCGCTGTGAGCCCAGACGTAAATACCCATTTCGATCCTGAAACAGGTCTCCATCCTGTCACGGCTCAGTCAGGAAAACGCGGATGAGTTCAATTTTGTGCGCGCTTACGAGTGCTTCCAGCACAAATCCCACACCTGCTTAGTCTTCGAGATGCTAGAGCAGAATTTGTATGATTTTTTGAAACAAAATAAATTCTCACCCCTTCCGCTGAAATACATCAGACCAATTCTCCAACAAGTACTCACCGCTCTTTTAAAACTTAAGGTAAGATGATATAACTTTACCATTTTGATCGAGGTTATACTTCTTTTCATTGGATGATCCATGGAATACGTCTTGTTTTACAGCAATTGGGGTTGATTCACGCGGACCTTAAGCCAGAAAACATCATGTTGGTTGATCCAGTACGGCAGCCGTACCGTGTGAAAGTTATCGATTTTGGGTCTGCCTCCCACGTGTCGAAAGCTGTCTGCAACACGTATTTGCAATCGCGATACTATCGTGCGCCCGAAATTATACTTGGACTTCCGTATTGTGAAGCGATAGATATGTGGTCGCTCGGCTGTGTGGTTGCAGAGTTGTTTTTAGGATGGCCTCTATACCCCGGTAGCTCGGAATACGATCAGATTCGATACATAAGTCAGACGCAAGGCCTACCGACCGAGCACATGTTGAACAACGCCAGCAAAACCACGAAATTCTTTTATAGGGACATGGACAGTAAGTATCAGAATGGTGGTGGGTCCTCGATTGTGTGTCTTAGTAACAGAAGTTCATGTATAACATTTGAAGTTAAACTGTTCATAGGCACATATCCATTTTGGCGATTAAAAACACCGGAAGAGCACGAGGCTGAGACTGGTATCAAATCAAAGGAGGCGAGAAAATATATTTTTAACTGTCTCGACGATATTGGTCAGGTTAATGTTCCGACTGATTTGGAAGGTGGTCAACTTTTGGCCGAGAAAGCCGATAGAAGAGAGTTCATTGACCTCTTGAAGAGGATGCTCACAATGGACCAGGTAGTAATATCTAATTCATGCTGACCCTTTGAAAAATCACGATCGAGTTCTTAGTATGCGAAGAATAGGAAGGTGATCTTTACGTGCTATATATTTCTGTTTCCACAGGAGCGCCGAATAACACCCGGGGAGGCTCTGAACCATGCCTTTGTCACGCTGGCCCATTTAGTCGATTATGCACACTGTAACAATGTGAAGGCTTCCGTCCAGATGATGGAGGTTTGCCGACGAGCGGGCGATTTCACGGCAAGCCCAGCGCATCACCAAGCTCCTCCAGCGCCTCAGCCACCACCGCCGACGTCGTTGGTAGCTAACTTTGTGCCGACGACGAACGGTAGCGCTGTCACTTTCACCTTTAACAACCAGTTGACCAATCAAGTACAGCGATTGGTCAGGGAGCATCGGACTGCGCAAACAGGATACGACAATCTGGTTCGTAGAATGAACTTAATCATTTCCCTTCACCGAACAGTCGCAACGTTCTACGTTACGTTGCGTTCAAAATGAAAGCTTGTGTTCGAAACTCGTTGTTTTACTTCTGTTTTTCATCGCTAATATAATTCCCGTTCCCTAATATCTCGACCATATGTTATCTGCGTGAAGTTTCATTTGGATCACACTGGTGTTTTTTCTTTCAGTATCAAATATACAGTAACAGTAGTCGTCGGGCGACTCAGTACAGTAGCTCGTCTAGCGGATCGAATAGTGGACGAAGCGGAGTGCACGACTTTCCGCATCAGTTGGTGCCTGGTCTACTTTGTCATCCACCCAGTTATCAGACGATGCCAAGTCCTGCAAAACACGTAGTCGTTGCTCAGGTAAATGCGATATACTGATTTCCATTCTGATTCAACGTGTTCTCGCGCATTCATTCGTGATCGTTTAATCATGATCCACGTTCACCGTAGCCCCCGCAGGCGCAGCAAGGTCCTCTCCAAATCCAACCATCCATCATATCGCAGCAGGCTGTTGCTGCGGCGGCTGCAGCCGCGCAACAACAGTACGCGGCGGTCCCTGTGTCTATGGTGGAAACTGGACGTCAAATGTTGTTAACGGTAATATACCTAAACATAACCTCACTCTTGATAATCGATGGGAAACGCATGCAGACAATAAGACATAATCTTACCTGTTAATCACACAGAACGCTGTGCAGACTTCGTGGCCGGGTGGAAGTCGTCAAATGGCTGCTATCGTGCCATCATGGCAGCAGTTGCCGCCGCAACATGCAGCTATACAGCAGCCATTGTTGAGTGACGCAGGAGATTGGGGAAGGCCTCTAATCGTCGACAGTTCTGCTATCTTGCAGGTAGGCGTCCTTAGACAATCAAGTCCGCGTCGTTCACCAAACGGTGTTTTAATTAATCTCCCTTGTTTTGGGGAAGGATCAGCGGCCAGTGTTTCCTGTCACAGAGGTGTATAACACCAGTGCCCTCGTCGAACATCCGTCTCAGGGCTGGGGCAAACGTAGCGTGACCAAACATCACCAACACCACGGGACGGTGCCTCAGCAGTCTCAGCACAGGCACGAGCACAAGAAAGAAACGCAACAGTTGAGTCCGGTGAAGAAGAGGGTAAAAGAAAGCACACCACCGAGCAACATGAGACGGCATTCGCCTAGCAACGGTCACTGGCAACAGCAGACGATGCAACAGCCCCATCACAACAGCAAGCACAGCAGTAGTCACAACGTAGAGCATCATCAGGTTACATCCGGTCGGCAACAAACCATCACGATCCACGATACACCCTCGCCGGCGGTCTCTGTTATCACGATCAGTGATAGTGAAGACGAAACACCTGGCAAATGGTGAGTTGACGTTTCTCGATCTTGTCTAGGTAGAACGTTAGTGCGTAGTTAGAAAGAGAGCATATCTCGTTGTCATAAAATTGACCAAAAAGACAGAGCTTCTTGTTTGTCTGTTGAACGAGGCCGTTGACACCAAGCCGAATTAGTTCGCTGTTATTTTTGCTTCCTTCATACCTTATTTTTTTGAACAGCTTTGTGACTTTACGTATCGCGTACGAACTACAATTATTCTGTAATATATTTCGAGAATACCATACATAAGAATTCCGTTTATAGAGGCGACCCGCCGTCGACATATATTGTACTTTAGTATCTTACTAGTAGAATAGAAAGTAGTGGAATCATGCATGAATATCATTGACAGCTGTGGAGATCGCCAGTGCGGAGCCTGTCAAAATTTGGCAACTCGCCTGTCTGGCGATGGACGTCCAGTCCGCGAGGAAGTCATTCGAAGGTACATTATACCGTAATGTAATAATTACAACCCGCAATATCACACGATCCTAATCCGATACACTCGGTCGCAACAATCACTAAGGCTGTGGTCACAGTGGCACCGATATCGGGCGATTCGCCCGACGCCCGACATCGTCTGATCTTTTCACGGTATTGGGAAGCATTGCGTGGTCTCAGTGACCAATCAAATCGGCCGACGTCTGACGAAAACAATCTGATGACCGATGTCGGTGCCACTGTGACCACAGCCTAAGAACGCGGGCTCTAAATAACGCTTGTAAATGGTCCTCTGTATTTGTGGGATTGAGCATTAACCGCGCTTGGAGCTGTCGCCAAGTAGTTGTGACGGAGAAAGTTTGCAGGGCAAACAATTGCGCGCGCACTTGATGCCTAGAAACCACCATCGGGCACTCTTATATAAATACAAATAGTTGGTGGAGCTTTGGAGAGTCGACTTTGTCTCTTGAACAAAGACTAACAAACACTATATGATTTGCAGCTCTAGCGTTTAATACCATTTTTTCTTATTCATTGTAACCTGCTATACGAGCGCTGGCTGGGTTCATCGTGTTTGGTAGCGTAATGTTCGTCGTTTATTGACGCGATTTATTTTCCGTTTTCAGTACGCAGTCAACACCACGCGTGGTCCAACCGTTGCAACAGACCCACTCGACCAGTCAGTCCCATACGAACGGGCACGTGACGGCGCACAGTACGTCACAGCGAACGCAACGGAAGAATATTATCAGTTGCGTGACAGTCGGTGACAGCGACGGCGAGGCTAGTCCAGGCCGAGCGCATACTCATCTCTATCAACATTTACCTCAGCATCCCCAGCACCCACAGACCACCCAGTTAATTAAGCATGAACCTCAACAACAACATCATGTTAGCAGGTAATTGCCTTGTGTTCGATATAAACTGATGAAGCGATCGACACACCGATCGTGTGCACCATATAACGTCGATTTATTTTGTTCGTTGCAGCAGTAGCTCGGGATACTCTTCGCAGTCGCAAAAGAAACGGTTATTGGCTAAAGTACAGTCTGAATGCAATATGGTGAATGTTGCGACGAAACCGGAGCCAGGCGTCGAGTACCTAGCCCCACATCCGTGTCACGCGCCAGCCTGCAAAGAGCCACCGACCTATCAGGTTAAAATCCAATTTAAATAGAAAAACTTTTCTTTCAATTCGTTTCGTTTCTTCTTTCTTCGCTGCTATTAGATTCATGCACACGAAATGAGAGTGGTACCAAATATTATATTTAACACAGGACGCGTCATTTTTACGCATTTCGAATGCCTTCTAATCTCGAAATTCTCTGTGTGGTATACCTATCTCTACGAATACGCGTCAATTTGAAGTAATCGTAAATTGAGTATTAAATAAAATAGGTTGTTTTTTTTTTTAAAGAAAATCTGCGGTTTCGTTGACATGTGTAGATATAGGTATATAAAAATTGTCCGTAAATGTAGTGATAATCGTTAACGAACACTTTGTCGGTAACACGTCATTTCCTTTGCAACAATCTAGTGGAACTATACTTTCTGATCCTTGTACGTCGTTTCTTTCATTCTTTTCGTTTATTATTACTGGTTCCATCGAAGAGAAGAACATCAACGATCGTCCTGTCTAGCTCAATCTGGTTTTAACCCCTCTCCCCTGTTTTAGTAATCTTTCTTTTTGGTACATTCTTTTCTAGGATGATGCCTATGACATGCATGACTACTTCTTGCAGTATGTGACCACGAGTAGCGCGCATCCCCACCTCCAAGAGCAGCACATCGTGTACACGACCGGCACGGACAAACGGGTATCATGGCCCGGTAAGAGGGCCGAGTACAAGCATGAGTACGTTCAACCTCCGGCCGCTCATTCGCGAGACCATCAGAAATGGGCGGTGGCCAATACTGTGCATCAGTATAGGTGAGCAAAAATTATTCGCAGCATGACGAGTTTGAAGTATACACGATACATCACTTAATACTTAGACATCCCCATTTCGAGGCATGTAGTACACACGAAAATACATAACCTAGAAGAACCTAGAGAAAGAGAAAGAGAGTAGTGAGACACATGGGTGTAGCAAGGTTATCAGTCGGGGGGGGGGGCAGTGAAAAAGGCTGTACGTAGCCAGGCACACTTTATTTGGTTTGTAAAGTCATAAATCCTTCAAAATGTATGCGTTTTGTTAATAGAGATTGTTGGGCGTGTTTCAAATTATACTGTAATATTAAATATTACGCAAAAATTTTGTAACTCTGGGAAGGGAGGGGGAGGGGCAAAATCCAATTTTTTTCTTGTAGAGTGGGGTTACGCCCATGGTGAGAGAGAAAGGGAAAGACAGAATTAGATTAGATACGATTGAAAATTCGTGTGCACGTAGTGAACGAGATTGCATGTAGGTTTTCTCGTTCTATTGCGATACGACCAAACCGATGATGACCTTTCTTTCTTAACCAGTAAGTAATGAACGCATGGGAATTGCATAACCGATGGGTTGGATTTTGTTTTGGGTTTTGTAGGCAGAGCCAGGTGGTGGGTTCGGCAGCCCATCCGGGTCATACCCACAGCCATCATGGGCATCCGGCCCACCTCAGTCCTGGGGGCGGTGGCGGGGGCAGAAGTCCTGCGGGGGGGCCTGTAATAGGAAGTGCCCAACATCTGGGACAACCCCTGTACCAGGAGTACGCCCATGTGCGTTCAAGGGCCCATGCCGTGCCACCCCCGGTGTACGTTACCGCCGCGCCTTCTCAGGCTCCCACTGCTATCCAGCAGCAACAAGTGCCCACCTATCAGGGATTCACACCCGGGTGGGTACCTAGACACCTAGTTGATGCATGCATGTGTGTACCATTTATTATATTTTCGTTCTAGCGATAGTGTTCGGTTCTAAGTATATGTTGTTGTTGTTGCCACCTCTTTTTTTTTTAATTATTATTTTGTGATCGTACGAAAGTAGATGTTGCAAAACGGATTCCCCTAGATCGTGTGTGTGTGTCCCCTGTGACACACACGCTGTAATTTTACTCTTTTTTTTTTTTATAGCATGCAAAGTAGAGAATCGATATTCAATACCCTTTTCGACCTGAGACTCGGATAATGTGTCGGGTCGTTGAATAATGTCATTTTTGCTTTTCGAGGCTTTTTTTTTAAAAGGTTTGTTTTTCACATAAAGATAAAGATTTGTGTTTTTTGGTCATCACTAGAGATGGCGTGAACTATTCCCTGTGAATTACGAGTGATTTGATCACGTTTATTGCTCATTACGGTGATTTTTCACAGTGATTTCTGATTTTTCGTGATTGAATACATTTTTCTTTTAAAGTTCAATTATGATCACAGTGAGAAAATTCATTCAAGAGAAAAAAATCACGATCCCTGTGATCAATCACTGTTAGTGATTTTGCACACTATCTCTAGTCATCACCTATAGTGTTATCTAAGGACATTTACAGAACAATAAAGTTTACCTGGGTGTTTTAACTTTGGTTCATTTTAGTGGTTAATGTTATTCTTATAAACTTACAGTTTATAAGTTACAATTGTTCCTTTTGGTTTATAATTTGAACATTCTCTGTACACACCAAGAATAATTGTACTGGTTCTTGTAATAGTATTATTTCCCCTTTTAACCCTCGGAGGATAATAACGGGGTCATTTTGACTCGAGTTTTCAAGAAATTCATCCAACTCAACAGCTTCCGATAATTAATTTAAATTTGGAATTGTTTCTGTTAATTTAAATAAAAAGAAAGTCAATTTACAAAGAAAATTTGTTCAAAAATACATTTAGAGGGAATAATGCACGGGGGTCCAAGTGGACCCACGCTATCACAACCGTCCATCTTCCGAGGGTTAAAGACACATTTTACGAGCTGCCATAAACGAGTTCCAAGAACGGTTCTTTTTAAAAAGATTCTTAAAATAGAACAGAGTGCAGCGCGAGAATGGGTCAGCTAATGACACGAAATTAGACGAGTCACGGAAGATAAAAACGACATTACTATTTACGGAACGACCCGATACATACATTTCGTACAAAAGTAGAACTTTTAATCGCTACCTTAAACAATTCCCCCACAAACGTCTCATAATCGTACGATTCAAATCGACTCATAATTTTATCTTTATCGAAATCTCGATTCACACGTATTCAGGCATTCAACAGAGTACACTTGAATATATTTGTTGCTTTTGAAAGTCAATAAATAGAAAGAAAAAAAAAATGAAAGAAACAAGAAAATGAGAAAAAGTTAAATCGTTCAAAGTAAACATAGTGGTAGAAATAAAATTTAAGATTATCCTTTCTAGTGACATCCAGTTCATCTTAACATCATCCTAAGGTTGCAGATCGTCGAAGACGTTTCCGATACTTTAAGATTTCAAGAAAGAAGACATTGAACTAATTGTGTTTTCCATGTAGGCCATCGTCGTCGAAGTTTTCACGTCTTTGGTCTTACAAAACGATAATGTTTGTATCTCTCCGAAGCAACAAAAATATTTGGCCGTACTCTTTTGGTGTCTGTACCAGAGATGGGCAAATCTTTTATCCGCAATAAAAGAAGAAAAAAGTAACGGTTGAAACACCGATTAAAAAATAAACTACTTGGCTATCATGTCTGTTCATATAAACACGAAATACGTATAATGTGTTACTACAGTTAAAATAACGCTCATCTCTGTCCTGTACGTATACGAATCTGTTCTCGCCGAAGTGCCGTGTATGCGCTCGCGTAGAACGGAGTTATCCGTCCGTTTCATTAAACAGAAAAAGAAGTCGAATATGTTTCATTTCCCGCCCTATGTATTATTTTTTTTTTTATTAATTCATATATAGAGCTTTACGAAGAGTTTCTAACGTTGATTATCCCGTTTTTTCCAGCTCGTCTCCATTAACGTTGTATGATTCTAGTCGAGCGTTGCCACCACCAGCTCATCACAGCTCGGCCAGACCGTTGCTAGCGAGTCACGCGGCACATCCACTGCCTGCGCATATGCAGCCGACGGCGGTATACGGATTGGCCCCGCTATCACCGGCCAAACATCAATATCAACCTTCTGGTTTGTGGTTCACCGAGTAAATTGTTCCTCACGTGTTCGACTCGAGAAACGAAAAAGAAAAAACAAAAACAATTCGACAGTGGGAGGGGACCCGGTACACGGAGAGACCAGGCACACTTGTCGAGAGATAACAAGACCACAGAGAACTATCGTTTCGAACGAAAGGAAAAAGGGGGTATCGCGCAAACACCAAAGATGAAGACTCCATCGGAAAGATCCTACGCATATACTATTTCCTCGCGAACTTTTTACTGAACGAAGGGGGGAGCTTTTCACGATGCTGCTGTCGACTACAAAACACGGACACACACACACACACACATACACGCAAACTAAGGATTAGTATCGTTGACGAAAGGGAAAAGTAATCGATGACTGAAGAGGAGAGACTCCTCGAAGCAACACACATAATCTACTCGTTGTTCTTCAAACCATATATATTTCACTTTCTGACAATCCGTCCTAAGCAGCGACTGCTCCTTTCGAACTGCCCCGTAAGGAATTAAGATCACGCCTTCCGCAAATTCGATGGTAGCAAACGAAATACAAAAGGAACCAAGTCAAGTTATCGATCGACCTAACTATCAAGGATTGTGTTTTGCCCCTTTTTTCGTTTCGTTCGATTCTAGGCGAATCGTGGCATGGAATTAAAACAAGATATATTGTCGTGTGGAAAGCACACGAGGGAAAATAGAGATAGAGAGAACGACACGACGGGATTGAAAGAGGATGACGTTTCCTCAGTGAACCATCATATTTGTATTGCTTGTTGTATTATTTGTCTAAAATGTTACTTTCGGTGACACACACACGGTCGACGTACAATTTTTGTCCGATTTAGAATATGGCGCGCGTATGAATGTTGAACGTCACGTGACGGTATATATATTATATACTTGACGTCACGTGGGGTTTTTTTTCGATAAGAGAGAGAGAGAGAAAGAAGAAGAGAGTGTGTGTGTGTTTTCGCGCCAAAGAAAATTTTCACGGACATGCGTGTGAAAACCACTCAGAAACAGGGCGATGTTCGAGACGCGTAATTTCGAAGTCCGTAAGGCGAATGAGAAAGTTTATTACGCCTCACGGTTTTATAAAGCGGATCACACGGAAACACCGTCGATGTGCATCGGGTGATTCGGCGAGAGAACTGTTCTACTTTAGCATGAAACAGCAGTTAACCAACGTAACTTCGTTTGTTTTTTAAATTAAACTTTAAGACGTTGTAACGGGGAGGATGTAGATTTGCATTTTTTAAAATGATATGTTAGACGCGTATCATAAACACGATTGTTTTTTTTTTTTAAGGCTCATCGACAAAAGTTTTCGGGGGTCGGGTGAGGCTCGACGAAAAACGTCGTGTCTTAATTTGTAAACCCGCCCAGACGGTTTTGTCGTCGAGCGTGTGACGCCTTTGAACGTTTCAGTGCTTTCCCCCTGTCGCTGCGTGAACGGCTGTCGATTGAGATCGCTTTTGGCTCTCGATTCACGCCAGCACGAAAGGGGGTTAGGTGAACACACACGTGCACACATAAAACACACACACAGAGAGAAAGAGAGAGAGAGAAGCATTCGCGACACATTGGGGTCAGAGTATGTAAAATGTGTTTCGAGTTTTGATCGTGTCAGATTTATGAATTTGAAGCTGTGTGTCAAGCATGCTGATTCGTTGTAACGAATTTAGACACCCATGATAGTGTCTCTATTCAGGGGATTGGGGGGGGGGGATATGTATACATATGTCGAATCGAATTCTTCTGTTTCGATTCGATTGCAAGCAAAACGCATGAAGTTTGATCGTGCGCATGCACGCAACGGTTACTTGTATTTGACAAAAGCTGTGCCTCCTCGCAGCAGCCTCACTATTTATTTTTATTACGTAATTAATCTTATCGTCTGATCGTCGTAAACTATTAACCGTTACGACCTATTATATTATCATTTTACTGCTACTATTATTATTAATTGCGGTTAGGCTGTCCTTAAGATAAAAAAAAAATATCAACGAGCAGTTCGCCCGTTTTCGTTGCCCCGTAGATTTCGCTCGTTAGGTTCGTTCAGAAATATTTGAGATTCGCGTATATATATCTATATATGTATACTAACACACGCATACACACAGACACATATTCGACGTGCACTCGTTCACATCGCGTCGTCTCTGTTTTCCTTGCAATTGTTGTGTCTCACACAACACGTGTGTTCTTCTGTATATTTTCTTTCTGTCCTTTTTCTTCTTTCTTCTGCATTTCACCGAACGGGTGTATAGTTAATAGCCTAACTAAAGAATGTACGGCATCGAGGTACATTGCACAAATCAGCCGGGTACACAATTTATGTGTGTTTTTAGGCGAACAATCGGTCGACGAATTTAATATTCGACGATCGATCATTTTTATCGAACGAGATGGGGACTGGGAACTGCACACGGGGACACAGAACCGGGACAAAAAAAAGAAACAGTTTTCTTCGGCGTGTTTGCATTCGACACCTTTTTCTATCGACAGGCTTCGGGTCGACGAAGCCGAGTTCGTTCCTTTTAAGCAGTTTCCGATTTTTCTTTCCGTTCCCCCCCGTCGTTGGAATCATGTTCTTCCTTCTCGCACTTTTCCACGCACGTCAGTATGAAATAGAAAAGAAACGAGACGATTTCCTAGGGTCTTCGTGAAAGAAGAGTATTTCGTATTTGAATCGTCGAACGAACCATGTTCGACGTGGCACGAGGACGCTTGCATGCCCAAAACGGGAAAAGAAAAGGGAAAAAAAAAACGTCGATTTGTACATAATTATTACGGAATGGCTCTCTGCCTACGTTTCGATGGTTATACATGGGCACCGTTCTTCGACACTTTTAACGAAACGGGAGAGTGGAAAACAAATGGGGAAAATAGAACGATAAGGAACTCTCGGGGAAAGAAGGATAAAAATGTGTTTTTTTTTTCTCCGCGTGCTGACGTGTATATCTCGTGGTTTTTAATGGAATGACGCTTAGGCATTGTTTTGCTAATTATTTTATATACATAGGCTGTATGATAACGTACGGGATATATTAGCTGCCGGTATGTTGTTTAGAGTGATCCATGTCCAGAGTTTAATTAGAAGTATTTTACACGTAGAACGATAGATTGTGCGAATGGGAGGACGAGTGATCATTGGGAGAGAAAGAAAGAGTATGAAAGAGAGTAGATAGAGGATGATGAAGTGAAATTTTAGATACGTTACCTCGATATCAGGAGAGAAATGAAGAATTTTCAATGTTTATAATAAAGAAACATAACACGACGTCGCTGCTGATTCGCTACTACTTTCGATAGATAGTAGATCTCTCTTCGTTAAAAATGAACTTATGAATATTCCAAAATTCCCACGCAGCGCGTCCATCGAACACGAATTGGCTTCTTATAAATAATAATAATAATTCTAAGCGAAAGCAAAAGTTATATGTAACCAAGTCGATGTGCCTGTTTAACAAGTAATCATACTTAACGTTTAATACTTACTGCAAACGATAAAGAAACGAAACGGGAGGGAAGATGTGATCACGGCGCAAGAAGATGCTCTCCGAGCGTCTCTTGGGTCGTGTGTAAGGGGTTGGAGGGGGGGGGGGGGACACAGGGGGGGTGATCGACCACACGGTGCGAACAATACAATTAATCAACATACACATACACACAAGCACACGTTTGCGCGCCTACATCTGTATATAAAATGTACGTATGCTTCCATTCTAGAACGTAGGGGTTGTATCGCGTAGAGGAAATGCTACCTTCTATTCTCGCTGGTCGCGAGAAAAAAGTCATATCCTTAGATTTTCACACATTCTACTACCGTAAAAAACGGGAACCGTTGTTAAGAAAAAAAAAGCAGTAAGCATAATATTAATAATATATATATATATATATATATATATATATATATATATATACGAGCGGGTGTATGTATGGGACAAAAGATTTCTTCGTTTCGTTCTCTCGCGAGTCGATGCATGCACAAACACACACACGAAGAATTAATTAACACACACAGAGAAACATACATATATATACACACACATTACACAGTATTACACGGCATACGACAGTCGTACGCATAGTCATTTCTCCATTTATGCTTCATTTTACATATCATTTGTCCCCTGTATATACGTGTTTCGAAAACGTATATCCTTAGGTGGTATATACGTGTCACACACACACACAAGTAGACGTAGGTGAACCCCCTTTCAGTCAGGTTTTTTTTTTCTCGTTCTCATCCAAAGAGCAAGTTTTGACTGACGACGCGTTAGGATTCTGTAGAACTGTTAGCGTGTAAGAGACTGTAGTAGATTATTTTTTATGTTAACGTTATTCAACCGGGCGTGCCCGATAATTACAAAGTATTCACAAATGGGGTCTAGGATTACTAAATAACGTATGTAGATATAGGGGCGTGTGTATTCTTCTGTTTCTTCTTCGTTGGAATCGGATTGTCGATTACCCTCTAACAAGTAGACGATACATGGTCGATGTGTTATACTAATTAACAGCTTCTTCTGGTTTTTTTTTTCTTTTTCTTTAAGAGACACGTAATACGCGCCAGGTTACGCGCGCGATCCTATGTTGGTGTTAGTTTCGTAGGTTAGTAATTATAGATCGTCAGTCAGTACAAGCTCGCCAGTCACGCTCGACGCAGTCATTCGTTTACTTTTTAATCACGCATCGTCCTCTGTATGGATCGTTAGGAGTTAAGCGCGTTGCTAAACGAGAGTATCTAATTAACAAAATCGTAGAAGAGATATTTTATTAATTATTGTATAGTGTCAATATAATCGCGCGGCGTTATTTCGGTCAGGCTTATCCGGAATGGCCCAAGCGTGTACGTGCCCGCGGAAATGGAACCCGTGTAATTCTACCGTTTGTTATGAACATTTGTACATTACGATTAACTTGTGCTCCGGTTGGACGACCCATCCGTTACACCCTTAAGTTCGACAACACTCGCGATCAGTCTCGACTCTTTCATTGGAGAATTAAATGCGCTGTATTTAAAATTGAATGAAACTTTACAATCGAAACGGTATGATCAATAGCAACACTGCTGATGTTAACAGTAAGAAATCATCGATAGCTTCGGATCACAAAATTAATTGGAGCGCCAATAGGCATCAAACGCCATGAAAGGGTTGACATTGAAAAATAACACTATTTCCAC